TTTCCTGCTTCTAAATTTACGACGAGAACAAAAGACAATGTAGGAAAGAAGAGTTCCAATCATAATCCCGGACACCAAAAATACAACAATATGCCATACTGCAACAGTCGTCTCATCATCCTCTTTGTTGGCAGCTGTATTGACCGAACAGAAATATTTCCTTCTTATACAGTTTCTAAATTTGCATATGCGCAAACGTCACCAGCTTAAGTAATTACATATACAATATACGTACAACAATACTTACAATTTTGCCTTACTTTTACTTCGACTAACTTTTTCTCCACTAGAGTGTGACTTTGGGCCACACACTTGTATGTTCTACTGTCTGTTCCACCAACATTCCTGAGAGTTAATGTCTGTTCTTCGTTTCCTGTTCTACCAATCTGGACATCATCTTTATACCAAGTTACATTGGCTGGAGGGTTTCCACCTTCACCTCTACATACACATGTGAAGTCATCACCTTCATTTACTATGATAGGACTGGAACAACTCAATGTAACATTTGGCTTTTCTGAAATGTGATGAAGCCATGTACTGTAAGTCTTTCGGAAAGGTAAGTATATTATATTATTATGGTTAGGGCATACAGTAGTTCGCTCAAATGGCGCAAATGAGTATAACATGCTCTGTTTTCTTCGACTCTCCACAAAGCTCAATTTGACTCCCCCCCCCCCCCACCTCCTATTGGGAAGTTCGTCTTGATGTAGACATATAAATACTTAAAAGTTTATGTAATGCTATCCAATTTGTTCCTACACATTGTATATTCTACAATAATTATTCTTGTCTATACATGTTGATATTTTTGTATCCGTATAGACGGCAGAAGATTTGTTTGGTTAAGGGCCCCATATAGGCAAACTTTAGGGGGATTGAGGGCGTGCTCCCCAGAAATCATTAAAATATGCGGTCTTAAAATGGAATTTCCTGAGCTGGTGGATATTTCTTCAAATTAGGATTGTATGCATCAATGGAACTGTTGTATTTGTGGCAGTTCATTGCAATCTCAAATTAATGAATAATGATCGCTCCCTAAGTATATTTTAATTTCGAGCATTTTCCGATAGGGGCTGATATATGCTAATACTCTCCAGAGAGGACGGCACAGGTAAAGACCTACCTAAAATGACTATGTTTTGTGATTGGCTTTCAGAAACAAATCAGAAACAAAAATCATTGTTCGTGGCTCGTTACTTTGATTCGAGTATAGGTAGATGATGAGGCTACGGCAGACGTTAGGCGAGATGTATGTGCTCAAAATGTATGGATGAATGTCCCTGTTTACTTAATAAATCTGTGAATGAGGTTGGAAACGAGTGATCTATCCTGTCACAGAAGCTGAATTTTGTTTCTACTCAAGTGGACATTCATGATTCAAACATTTAATCTCACGGTGTAACGATACGAGATATTTTCGTTACATTTTCCTTGTTGTTCTACGTATTGTACTGAATGGCAGAATCAGTAAGAAAATATCTTTCCCACACCGCTGTCGATTTTCTTTCTTAAATCATATTATTGCCTGTAGCTGTGCACGATTTATTTTAGGCCACCATTTCAACATGGATTTGTATTTGTAATTTGTTTTCATGTTCTGTTCTTTTTTAATGTATAATGTACAATACAAAAAATGCATTTTTTTGCAACTGCATGTTCCCGTATCATGTCTGAAAGTATAATTTTGGCTTGAAATTTCCATCTACAAAAACCTTCAATAATACGCTTATAATACGCCTTTCGTTTTGCAACAGTCAATCAAATCAGTCAAACATTATCCACATGCACCCTTCGTGAGGAAACGCAATCTATTGATTGCATTTTACTTGCCTGAACCAATTTGTTACTGCCTGAAAATAAGTGTACTAAAAATTCTGCAAAAGCAGGGTAAAAAGGTATAGGATAACATACAAATGACACTTGCCTGCAACAAACACAGTAACAATAGATGCAGCAATAGGTTTACCCTTTGCCAAAATACTAAATGTGTATGTTCCATTGTACTGGATAGTAACGTTCTTTAAAATCAACGTTGAAGGCTTTGTTATTGTAAATGGTCCAGGTGAGTATTGGGGCACTTCAATCACATTTCCATCTCTAATGATATCAGCAAAAAGATAGTCGTTCTTTGGAAGGAATGTCCACCATCGACCCAGTACGTCAGTTATACTGACATTAAGTTTCCAGGCTATTGACACATTTTCTCCAGGGAGAACAACAAAGGTATCGCCACCTGGCGGGAGGGAGATTTGACCTACAGAAGAGAGAAAGGGGAAACTATACCATGATGTCTGAACTCCCAACATTCTTCATGTTGTGGATGTTTTTTGGAATGGCCCAATCATAGCAATTTTATTCTAATTTACCATTTTCGTGATGCAACTTTTTTACAATATTAAAATATCAGTCTTTCTTGAGGGAAAAATGTCATTATAATCGGAGGAATAAAAAGAAGAAAAATTGCATCAACAAAATAATGTCATGTATATTCAATTAGATTTTATTTTTTAAACTGTTGACGAGTTAACTACGGCCTACTCATGCAGTGCGCTTGGCTTTGGACAAGAGCAATATTTTAAATATATATGCAAGTAGTGTTTTCCTCATTTAATTAGAGATTCATAAATGTAAGCCTACTAAAACAATTAAAGTTGTATGGAAACTTGTGCGTCTATATATAGTCCATACCTTCACAAAGACTGAATAACAAAATATTTAGACCAAATATAACGGAAAAAATTAAGCCAATCATTTTATGAAATTAATTTATATAAAGCAAAGAAAACATTAATCAATACATTTTTGGTTGTATAAGGATATGGTACATCTTATACATCCAGTGAAGTCACTTCAAATTTAGCTAGCTAAACTTTTTCTGCATCAATGTGCTGTATCATGCATATTGGAAGGACAATACAGTAGGAGGTAAGAGTAAACTTGAGTTTACTGAGTAAACTAGTGCGTAATTAGCAATTATATTATTTATGCACGATATACATGCACAACTTAATTCGCTGGTGAAGGTATACATGCAGCCTCAGGTGTGCCCTATACTACTTTCACACTTGCTTTACGTTTGTACTCTGAATGATTTATAGTATACTGCAGCTAATTCAAAAAATGTTGTCCTTTGCAAACCTTAAACTCTAAACCTTAAACCATAAAATCCAAGCATGCGAAGCATAACGAGTATAATCAGAGCATCATTTAATCAGTTTAGAAATCATATGTGGGGCCCATTTCTTAGAGACATGATAAATATCTCCTTAGGAAAACAATTCATTCAAATAGCTGCAATATTCAACTACTAAGCTTGAAACTTGTGCTCCCATTAAGCTTTGCGCGCTTAGAGTTTAAGGTTTAACGTCTAACGCCCGTATTCTAAAAACTCACTCGCACTCACACTCAATGAGTGCAGGTTCAATTTGAGCTTCTCTCGAGTGTCAATGCTGTTTTTGAATAGCTGGAGGGTGAGCAGTCATATAGTAAGGCCACATAAAAAAAATTACTTGTTTAGCGTCCCCGCCCGACCTGATAAAAGTCCCCGACCTCCAATTTTTTTTTATTTTTTTTTAAAAATTTGTCCGAGTTTAGTGGAAAAACTCTATAAAAAAGACCGTTTTACTTGGAAAAAATGGTGATTTTATTCTTCTGGGAGCTATGTAATACGTTTACACAAAGTTTCCTTCCCAGAATATGCCTGTTCGGAGCTAAAGTGTTCGCGCGTGACCGCCAAACGGTAATTTTCTGTTTTATTAAAAACATGAACGGGAAGTTAAAAAACATGAACGGATTTTGAAAGAATTAAAGTGAGTTTTGACTGTGGTAATATACTGGATTTCCTGCATTTAGCAGAATTTTGTGTTGCATTTTACGAAAAAAAAAAAAAAAAATCCGTCCGCCCGACCTAGAAAAATTAAAATGGGTGGACTCTAAACAAGTAATTTTTTTTATGTGGCCTAAGGTACGACACTAGACCTCAAGCTATTCAAAAACAGCAATGGCACTCGAGAGAAGCTCAGATTGAACCTCCACTCATTGAGTGTGAGTGAGCTTTTAGAATACGGGCGTAAGGTTTGCAAAGGACAACCTTTTTCTATTCCTTCTACCTAGATGTATCTTAATAGCTATTTGTTGCAGGGTTAAAGAAATGAAGTTGTAATCCTTGAATAAATTCTATCCAGAAAATGAAATGAATGAAAACATGCCTGATATTGTACACCTGATTGAAACTAATTAACTTTAATTCGCATACGGTTTCAAACGAATATTATGATAATACCAATAGCCTATATTCTTGGTTTGCAATTAATGTCATGGCGGCCATGTTGGAGGAAAACTAATAAAAGAATCTCATGAACAGCTATTGTATTTGGAGCATATTTTCCTCAAACATGGGCTTGTCTTTATCTTGCAAATCTCAAGAGATTGATTGCAAACCATCAATTATAGCAAATATGACATAGTTATACATACCTGTTGTGTAGTGTATTCCTGTAAAAGTCGCCACCAAACGCTATATATAATATGGTGTGTCGTTTTAAAAGTTGTGCAGTTTTTGCGTCTTCGATACAGATTCAAGCTTGATATTCAAATATGAAACACACTGCCCGCATGCTACTGCATGCCCCGTTGTGGACATTTTGCTAAAGTTATGATTAATTCATTAAATTAATTTAATTCGGATAACTTCAAGGGTTGACAGTTCAAGCTTTTCCGGGGTTTTTTGTGCCTTTGCGTGGGAGTTTGCGGTTTGATTGTTAGCAAGATAACTCAAAAACCATCAACTGACAGTTTAATACGAAAATTTGTGGAATCAGTGCCAATGGCCATAGGTCAAAGACAAAATTGATGTTGATGAGTAATATATAAAGTTTTTCGTGCTAAAACATGCGTTGTGGTTCTGAATGTATCTTATTGAGGGATTACAAACCTATTATATCTGGTTCCTATATATGAACTTTAGGGGAAGATCAGGGGTGGTGAGGTAAGTGTGGTGTCAGATCCCCCCCAAAAATTCACGCAGAGTGGAATTTGAAAAACTCATGGAAACATTCAGGAAAAGTTCATGCGCACACTTAACCCACTTTTGCCAACATTTTAAACGCATACCCTCCACTCCCCTCTTCAACGTTGCATATCTGCATTATCCACACTTCTTATTTGATTAAAAAGTTCCATTCAATATTCACTTGGGGGAGCGGCGGGGGTATTTATTCAATAGAAATGCCATTCTAAGCCAACCTCGTTCTCAGGGCTTTTCCCTTTTTGTCAAAAAGGGAAAAGCCCTGGGAACGAGGTTGATTCTAAGCCAATATCTGTGAGTTGTCCACAATGTTTTGGCAATAATGGCAATATGATTGTAGCATGCAATATCTTTTAGGATAAGGCGAACGCACTTTGCACATTGAAGAAGTAAATTAAGCCTCAAAAAGCTGTAAGAAAATTTTTTCATAAAAGAATTCGTAGTCGCAGCCATTCCAGAAAACATCCGGACAAATTAGAATCGATTTTTATTACTTGGGAGAATTTCAGGTCCACTATTGAATAAAAACATCTTCCTTAGCCTTTAATCTAGCCTTCTCCGCAGGCATCTCTAAAGGTTACCCGGGTTTCTGCGGTTTTAAACCATCTGGCACATGTGACCCCATGGAAATTCCTGAATAAAGGGGGCTACCTTTTGTCTTTAATAACCTCTCTTTCTCAACAGGCCCTATTCGCATCGATGAGGGCCCCCTATACTTTTTGCGTGAAGCGTGAAGGGCTTGTTTTACTTAGCCGTGAAACGTGATCAGGCCCCCTATACTTTTTGCGTGAAGCGTGAAGGGCTTATTTTACTTAGCCGTGAAACGTGATCGATGATTTTCTTAATCCGTGACTCGTGAAAAGGCAAAATATTTTTACGTGAAAGCATATTGTGAAGAGGTATAGGGGGCCCTCATCGATGGGGATCGATCGACGGCTAGAAAATTTCATACCTTCGGTTCAGTGCATGCTATGAAGACAGAAATACCACCATTCGATTCAGAAATAAAATATCAACTAGTTCCAAACGATAGTTATAGTCATTATTAGTATTGTAACGATTTATGGGCCTTTGAAAGTCAAAACAATCATATTGTATCAAATTACGCAATTGTCTGAACAAAAATATAGACTAGCCATACCTTTCGCCGAAAATAACTTCGGCCCCATCGAACATATCGTCTTTGTAATAATCTTGTTCGAATCCCCGTCAAAAACACTATTTAGAGTGTTATTTGCAAGCCTGTATCTTGAAATCCTTATCTTTTATCAACATATTTCCATTTCTTGTCCGACTGTGAGCTCGAAGTGAGTTAATCCCAACCGGAAATACGACTGAAAACCGTCAAAACAATGCGAAGCTTGTATCATATGACCCTGGAAAGGCCAGAAATGGTTCGCAAGGTCAAATTGCACCTACACGCGTGAGTTTGACGTCATCCCGGCCACAGGAACTTCTTATTGGCCAATTATTGCGCAATGTACGCAAGTGCGAGTAAAAACCCGACATCTTGAAAAATTCAAAATAAATATTTCTACTCGCCGTATTCAAACGAAATTTTGTACACGAAAGCGCTTGAATACAGAGAGTATTTTACACATATAGCCGTTCAGCAAATGACGAAAAGTTCAAGAGATATTCAAGATTTGGTGGATATAAAATTTAGAATCTTTGGCCAAGCGGTGAGTAAATATATGATTGTTTCGGTTTGTGTAATGTTTTGACGGCACTTGACCCCCCGTTCGAAAGGTTATATTGTGAGGATTTCAATGGTGGCATTTATTTAAAAGGGGGGTAAATACTCGCCGAGATATTTATATTACAAAAATTGAATCGAAATGTAATGCGAAACCGGCCTGTCGAGAAAGAGTACTTTAAGATAATATTCCAGGTCTTCCACATCTCTGGTTTTGTTCAAATCAGTATAAGTAGAGTCATCGTCATTTCCAGCTCCATTTCCAGCTCCATTTCCAGCATCATAACTTGCAGCATTCACTCTGAATGACTGATAATTATCTTCTGTGTTTATATAAGTTGTATCAGCTTCAGTTGTCTTTGGTTCAGGGTTTGACTGAGGCTTCCTACTTCTAAATTTTCGACGAGAACAAAAGACAATGTAGGAAAGAAGAGTTCCAATCATAATCCCGGACACCAAAGATACAACAATATGCCATATTGCAACAGTCGTCCCATCATCCTCTTTGTTGGAAGCTGTATTGACTGAACAGAAATATTTAAAACTGATAAACACAACGCCATAGAAACTTTAGAAAGGGATTAGAGAATTAGATGCAATCCACTATGATTTTCGAGTTGTTTATTATAGTGATCTCGGATTACAGAACAAGTTGTTCATGTTTCTGAGTTTCTCCCATAGATTTCATGTATAATGACGCTGAATGCAGTGGTAAAACAAGGATCCCCCACCCCTGTAATATCTACACCATGCAACAAAATAACACTAAGTTTGCTCATGTATTGACTGAACAGAAATATTTAAAACTGATAAACACAACGCCATAGAAACTTTAGAAAGGGATTAGAGAATTAGATGCAATCCACTATGATTTTCGAGTTGTTTATTATAGTGATCTCGGATTACAGAACAAGTTGTTCATGTTTCTGAGTTTCCAGTCCCATAGATTTCATGTATAATGACGCTGAATGCAGTGGTAAAACCCTCCCCCACCCCTGTAATATCTACACCATGCAACAAAATAACACTAAGATTGCTCAGGTTAGGAGGGGGACTATTGTTTCAGGAAGATAGTTTCACGCCAATAAATATATAGTTCAACTTGCTTTCACAAAGTGTATATAACCTCTGAACAAGTATACATCTTACCTGATCTAGAATTCTCGGTAGTGCAGGGGAAATTTTGAGTGCTAATACCAGTTGTCGGATTTATTAATTGATCTAAACATAATGAGTTCGTGTTATTATACTTTCACTTTCATTACAGTCGAAACTTTGAAGCGAATGCATGCAGAAGACAATGTTATACCTAGGATAGACAAATAATATATCGTTGAACTATTTCCAAGTTTATTCTCGGCAATACATTTATATAAAAAGCAATCATCCCTAAGAAGCAATTGAAAGGTAGAAATCCGTTACCATGGATCAACGGCGACATTGTCTATCAAATTAAGAAAAAGACTCTATTCGACGAAGATTGAAAGCCACTCCTACTGCACATCTTCACGAGAAATACAAGAGAATGCGTTCTAAAGTTAAACGGTTACTTAGTGACAGCCGCGAGAATTTCTTCTCCTCGGTTAACAACAACTTTATTAACAATCCCAAGCGCTTTTGGTCTGTCCTTAAACATAAATCAAAAACTTGCAGCATCCCCGATTTCATTTCAATGCCTGCAGCACTCAACTCCTCCGATCAAATTCACATTAGACCTAGCGCCACGAGACCAGCTGAAATAGCCAATATGTTCAATACTTACTTTGCATCAGTATTTGCAACAGACTACTTATCTGATCAATCTGATGAACTAAGTACTGACCCATTCATATCTGAAGTAATTGTAAACGAACTGGAAATTGAAACTTTACTTAAAACCCTCGATAGCAACAAAGCAACCGGTCCAGATGAAATTCCAGCCAGACTACTCAAAGTGACTGCCTCCATTATTGCTCCCTCTCTTTGTAAATTATTTAATAAATCATTACGTCTTGGCACGGTTCCAGAAGAATGGAAGCTAGCAAATGTTGTACCTGTATTTAAGAAAGGTGAAAAAGATCATTGCGAAAACTACAGACCGATCTCACTCTTATCGATTGTTTCGAAACAGCTAGAACGTTGTGTCCTTATGAACATCAAGTGCCATTTGTCCCAGATCATCTGCAAGTGTCAACACGGGTTCCTTCAAGGTAAATCATGTGTAACAAATCTTTTAGAGGCAATTGACTATATTGGCAGGATTCTGGACAATGGGGGACAGGTAGATACGATCTATCTCGATATGTCTAAAGCCTTTGATCGGATTAATCATACGAAATTAATTACTAAACTGAGAAATTACGGCTTCGGTGGTAATTTACTAAAGTGGTTTCAGTCATACTTATCCGGATCGTTGTCAGCGTGTAACGGTACTTGGTTGTACCTCAAACACACTTCCTGTATCATCAGGTGTCCCGCAGGGCTCTATTCTTGGACCATGCGCTATTTTTGCTGTATGTCAACGATCTTCGTGATTCAGTAAAGACCAGCGAAGTAGCCATGTTTGCAGACGACACAAAGTTATTTTCATCTGTCAAATGTCAGGACGATGCTATGTTACTTCAAAGTGATCTTAGAAACTTAGAACACTGGTCATCTGTATCTGGTTTGACCTTCAATGAAAAGAAATGCAAGCAGCAACGAATAACGAGAAAGATTACACCAGTAACATCATCATATATGATAAACGATCACCAATTAAACACAACCGACACTGAAAGAGATCTTAGTGTATGTATAGTATCAAACCTTACGTGGAAAACGCAAGTTCACCATCAGGCGTCAAAAGCAAACCAACTGTTAGGCTATATAAGAAGAAATACCATGTTCATCAAAAGTACTGCACCAAGACGAACATTGTATCTTGCACTGGTTCGATCTCATTTCGGGTATGCCTCCCAGATTTGGGCACCGCAGACGATTGAACTTATTGACATTTTAGAAAGAACTCAGAGGCGGGCAACAAAATATATTTTGAACTTGCCATTCTCGACAGACGTAGACTATAAAACAAGATTACAATCCTTGCATCTTCTTCCCGTATCCTACTGGCATGAATACCTAGACCTGAGCACGGTTTGGTGGAAATGTCTGCTCTTCCTGACATTCATATTATGCAAAGAACGACACGATCATCAGCAAGTAATAACGCTAAATATGTCGTCCGCAAATGTAAAACCAATACCTACCAGCAGTCGTTTTTTGTCAGAACGTGTCGAATATGGAACTCTCTCGTAGATGAACTAAATTATGACACGAACTGCTTCAATTCCTTTAGATCAGCCTTACTGGAATACTGTCACAAATCTTTAGAAGTTAATTATAATCCTGATAATCCTCGAACATTTAAAACTATATGCCTGAAATGTAACTCTGTACGAAGTCTTACATATCCGTTATCCTGCTGCTTTTAGTAACTACTATTGTTTGTTCGTAGGTTTGTTAGTCTGTCCAGTTGAATGTCTGTTGTTTGTTTGATTGTATCCAATTGGGCCCGCAGTAATTGGCAATAAGCTGTTGCGGTGTCCCGGCCACTCTGTGTAATTTTATGCCGGCAAAGTTAATAAATAAATAAAAAATAACCCAGCATCACTGTACTGCACAACATCTATCGTATACGTCTTGTCATTGCTGACGATCTTGGTATCATTATGGATTATAGTAAAACTTGGTGAAGGATGACCATTAGATTCACAGGTTATGGCAAAAGTTTTACCAACAACGGCTTTTTCCTTAAAGTATGGCAGTTCTGGTGGGTCTGTAGAAAACAAAATAGAATATAATAAAATATGGTTTCGGCAATATAATGCATGGTATTAATAAATACAGGTAATGGTTTTGAGTTCCATTTGAAAAAATAAACATGCAAGAGTGAGTTTTTCAAGGACGATCCAAATTGCAAGAGAAACGTTACTGCATGTTACTTATTGATAATATGCATGAAACTTGCATGCGTGAAACACATGGAAAATGTTACTTACTCATTTGAAGCGAGACAACAACTTGCAGGACACAAGGTTGTTATTATACAGGGTGTATAAAAAAAAACTGAACAGATTTGAAATTGCTCTCAATTTCGCAAAACACCTATTTGCATCCGGTTTTTTATATATGTAGTTTCTTTGGGTACTTATAATGTAGAATAATGAAAAAAATTTCTCGAACTCAAATTTTGTGAACCAGGGGGGTGTCTTTTCCAAAAACTGGCTCGCGCACAAAATTTAAAAGCTGTAATCATATTTTGAGTTTATAGATGCAAAATTTGTCGGGTTTTTAATTACTGTACAAAATTTCAGACAATTTGGTTTAGTTTAAGTCCTTTAACTATTCATTTTGTTCTAAAAAGTCAGCCTTTCGCATGCTTAATTAATGCCTTTACCTAACTTTGCATATTGCTGACACATGCAAATTAGGCAAATGCATTAGTTAAGCATGCAAATAGCTGATTTTTAGGGGAAAATGTAACTTTGCGTGAATAGTTAAGGGGCTTAAACTAAACCAAATTGTCTGAAATTTTGTACAGTAATTAAAAACCCGACACAATTTCCATCTATTAACTCAAAATATGATTATAGCTTTAAAATTTTGTGCGCGAGCCATTTTTAGTTTGTTGGAAAAGACACACCCCCCTGGTTCACAAAATTTGAGTTCGAGAATTTTTTTTCATTATTCTACATTATAAGTACCCAACGAAGCTATATATATATAAAAAAGCGGATACAAATAGCTGTTTTGCGAAATTGAGAGCAATTTCAAATCGGTTCAGTTTTTTTTTATACACCCTGTAGTATTGAACTGCTATGGAATATTATAAAACATAAACCTTTAATAGTTGTATTTAAATTTGCATAGCACAGGGTATAACTTTCGCTTATTCTTACAATAAATTTGACGCCACCTTGACCACGAGGGCGCAAAATACGATCAGCGCGCCCACATGCGTGCCTGAAACTAGGTTTTGCTGCCTTAAAATTTGTGGGTGGGATTTTGGTCAACCATTTGTCAAATCCCCGGGGTCCTCCAATACCCGGCCCCCGTGCACATATATGAAAGGCAAATTCCCGACCCCCGTGAACTGTCTATCGGGCAAATTCCCGGGGGTGTCCCGGGGGGGGGATGGTTACTCCAGGAATTGACTCATGCATAATTCCGTGGCTTTGCTTTATTTACGCACACCAGTGTCATGTTTAGATGTTAAGTATATATACTCTGGCTTTTTCTCCTTCCTTTCTTCTATTATATAGTTTGAAAACAAGCAGTAAGACTCCCAGTTTTAGCTATTGTAAAACAAACAATGACTTTGGAAAGCCAACAAGTATACAAAATAGACAACAAGACGCCGAAAGTGGAAAAAATTTGTTCGCTCGCGTTAATCGCTTTGATCAGCCAATCAAAACCTGGGACAAAATGTTCTTAAAATTGTTTTGAACAAAACTTCAAAAGTGCAAGGTCGAGGAACAAGTTTCAAACAATATAAAACTGAATCAACTGACAAAAGCCAAATAAAACTCACAGTTTTTGCTATTGTCTTCGACTCTTCGCATAAAAAAGACAAAAATCTTTAGAAATATCCGTAAGTGAATGAGAAACATTATAGAGTTGCAGCAACGAATGGACGGGCAAACTCCAAATAAAAACAACAATAAACTTTATTGCAAAAGCTTAGTGGAATTCACAAGTTAGATAAAGTTTCAAAAGTTTACAAATGCCTAGCAACAGTTGACGTAGAGGTAAGAAGTTTCAAGAAAATCCGGTTTTCTCTGGTTAAATTCAAGGTTATCCTACGGATAGTTAAACGCGGTACTAAACGGGCTTCATACAACGCAATTTTATCGGCCGTTTAACTATCCGCTGGATAAGAAATTTATACGCCGGATAGCGGCTAAACACCGTTTAAGTTAAACGCCTTTGATACAACCGGCCCCAGATGCAAATTTTCGCACTTTGTACTGAGTGTTAGCTGTGTAGCCATCTATTCTGTGGTGTAGCACTTTTAACAGTCAATGCATAAATGAATACACGGTCCAAATATTTATATATTGCGTAGAATCTCAAATATTTTCTCAATGACAATATATTCATGTCTGAAATGTTTATATGCATGTCTGAAATGTTTATAAATTTGAAAACAACACTGTCTCGCTCCTTCCTACCTCTGCATAATGAGTATACCGTGAAAATAATATCGGCACTCAATCGAATGCCTAGAATCTCAAACATTTTCGACTTACGTCTGAAATGTTTATATACTGAGTCTTGAAAAAAAAGCACTGTCTAGCCCTATACTGTGCTGTCTAGCTCCTTCCTAGCTCTGTATAATGAATATAAAGTCTAAATATCGGCACTTAATCGAATTCCCGTAATGCATAACATCAATTTA